TAATTATCAAGTACGAAGCCTGAATTTTTATTTTTCAATTTACCGCCATTTAATTCTCTCACAAGTGCAATTATAATCGGCCTATCAGTCATTTTCCATAGCTCGAAATGTGAAATTATATTATTTGAGACGAAAGGAAAAATAAAGTGGGATAAAAATTGTCGGAATATTTTTCTCTCTCTTTATTTTGATGTATAATTTAAAAAAATAAACGGAAAATTATAGAAAAGATATTGAATTCATGCGAGAGTTGAAAGATTTTTAGTAATGTAGATTTTCGTAAAATATGCCATTTGTCGTGATAATTAAAATTACGTCCTCCCTGCCGCATATTCGATGATATAACTAATTTTATAGTGGATTTACATTGCACGTAAATGAATTTGTATGGGAGTCTGTGGGATATTATTGAATCTTATTGCTATTTTGGCTTGTAGTCATAAACATTTTTCCGATCCTCCGATTGCAGTGTAATAATTATCATATCATGACAATAAGCCAAATAGCATTGTTTCTACAACCACAGTGTTTCAATTATATCATTGATTTATGAATCGTAATTCTCTATTTTACTCTAATTTTATCGATTTAATAAGAACTATTTACAATTTATTAATAATACTACTATTAAAAAATTATATTAATTATAATTCATTTTGTGAAACAATATTTAAAAATGGAGATGTTATTCTCCACTTAGGAACGTCAAGGTGACCACTAGATGGCAGCTGAGGTTGATAAAATAAGATTCCTCGCCATCTGGTGACAATCCTTACGTTCTCAAGTGGGGAAATTGAGGAAACACAGGAAACAGTATTTTATGTCTCAAAAACTCTTTTTTTTATAATAAAATACTAATTTCCATAGTTAAAATAAATGCAATAATACATTTTATAACAGTTTTGTATCATTACAATGATTTATTTATTCCTTTCGCTTAATTTTATTATCAGCGAATTTTTATGTAATCTAGGCAAAATATTGATGAACTGGTGCAAAATTAAAAAAATGTACTTAATTAATATTAATTACAACTAATATTATTAAAATTATTAATATTAATTACAACTAATATTACTAACATTATTAATATTAATTTACAAAATTAATATAAGTATGCATAATTAATTAATATTTGTAAAAAAAAATTAAACTATTGAACATGTCAAGGTTGATATAAATCGTATAAATTGCGAATGGCTGATAATTGCGCTTGTGAGAGAATAAAATGGCGGTAAATTTAAAAATCGAAATTCTTGATAATTACAATATATTATAATTTTTGACTAAAAATTTGTACTATTTCGATTTTCTTATACAAAATACAAAAAGAATAATGAGACACCGTTGATAGAATGTCAAAAGACAGCAAGTGAAAAAATGCAAAGAGCTCATTTTTGCTATTGGATCGTATATCACTAAACTGGGAGACAGAATTCTCCATGTCCATAATGGAGAGTCATAAGTCACACAGGATTATTGGTTGACTTTCCTTTCAGCAACCAACCTGCATTTCGGACCTATAAGCCATATAAATGGATGTCTGAGACTCTCTATAGGATAATATAGTATCCTCTGTATAAAATGCTAGATTATTTCAATTTTTAACCTCCCCCCCAATGAAAAAAAAGAAACACTAAAATCAAGAATTTGCAAATATTTTTCAATTCTATTGCTTGATAACAGAAATTTAAAAATTTAATTAACCCCTTGATAGTGCATGGCTCATATATGTCCACAAAAATTCCTGCCCCTTTTGAGTCAGTGGCAAAAAAAATTTTTCAAAAATAAATATACTAAACGTAATTCGATTCGAGTGTCGAAGGGTATTTTTTTTTTTTTTTTTGGGGTTTTTGGGGCCAAACTCGAATTTGAAGTCAGGTTTAAAAAATTCAAAATGTCGACTACAAAAAATTAAAAAAATTACCAGATTCGCTTGAAAATCGTTACTGGGGGATTTTCGGGATCACTGATTACGAATATGATGTCAGATTTTCAAAATTCAAAATGGCGGATCCAATATGCCGGATAATTTGAAGATTGATGCGTTTTGGTCGAAATTTATTTCTCAGGGGTTTTCGGGGTCGCTGAATTCGAATTTGATGTCCGTTTTCAAACATTCAAAATGGCGACCAAATTTTTTTAATGTTGTCGGATTTGTCTTAAATGATTACTAAAATGAACAAATTTTACAATTTCGCATTAAATTCGAATTTCCTAACTTTAAAAACTTAAGAGTAAATATTTTTAGACAAATTCGTCAACTTTTAAAAAATTCGGCGCCATATTGGATACGCCATTTTGAATTTTGAAAATTTGACATCAGATTCGTAATTAGCGATCCCATTTTGAATTTTGCAAAGAGGTAAATTATATTAGTGTGAATAGTGTTGATGATTATTTACTATTTCATTAACTGGAAGTCAATTTTCATTCATTTTATAGTGAGAGTAAATTTTCGAAAAAATAGTTAATTAAAATTTTAACTTTATTTGCTGTTTGAAATTATCTTTTATGATCTCTTTGCGGTGTTAGATAGAATGGATGTAAAATATTTAATTCAACTACTTTATTTAATTAAATGGAGAAGTCAACGGAGCACAAAAGAAAGATAACAGAAGAATGGCATATTCATGGCAGCATTCGCCTCACTGTAAATGTAACACCTTTTCCATATTATTTCAAAGTCCTTTTTAGTAAAAGTTTTCATATTTTCTATTTTTCTTTTTTATAAAATGAAAATTTCAAAAAAAAAAAATTAATTCTACACAATTTTTAGTTGAAAGTATGAAAAATTTAGATTTTCAAAAATTTTAATTTCAAAATTCTACGAAAATTTAATTATTTAAATACAAAAATAAATAATTTATTGAATAATTGAATGCTTATTAAAATTGAATTATCATAAAGAATTTTATTAATAACAAATTTTTAAATAATTAAATTCTTTTGACGAAATGAAATAAAATTTTTAAGAATTATTACATTTTCCGAAGAACCTGGATTAAAATTGAATTAAAAAGTAATTGAAATTCTGCTATGAGTTTTATTTATGAAAATAATTGATTTCTTAAAAAGAATTGAATTATTTATGAAGATAATTGAATTATTGACTAGAATTTTATTAAAATTTTCGAAAATAATTAAATTCTTTGGAAGAATATTAATAAAATTATAAAGAATTGTATCTTTTGAGCTATTTATATATTAATTATTTCAAATTATTTCATATATTAATATGAAATTAATTGAATTATTGCGAAAAAATTTATAAAAAATTTGGAAATAATTGAATTTCAGTGGAATTTTTATTATATTTTTGAAAATAATTAAATGTTTGCGTGGAATTCTGTTAAATTTTTTTTTAAATAATTATTTTAACAAAAAATTTCACAAAATTCTACGCAAACATTTAATTATTCTTTTGGAAATTTTTATTAAAATAATTGATATTGAAAATCATTAAATGCAGGAAAATGTTTAAAAATAATTAAAATTTTTGCAAAGAATTTTATTAAAATTTTTGAAAATAATTTATTTTTGGAGAAGAATTTGATTCTTTTTAAAGAAAATTGAAATTTTAAGGAGGATTTTTTTTTTAATTTTTGGAACATAATTGAATTTTTGCTATCATTTGTAACTTTTCTAAAAAAAATTAATTATTTTAGTGTTTTTAACTAAAATTCATATTTAAATTTAGTTTTTATTCATTTATTTTTATTCCTTAACTAATTTCCAGGTTTTCTCAAGGTTTATAAAATTTCCTGACATTTCCAGGTTTTCAGGTTGCGTGGCTATGCTGAAAATTGAAAAAATAAAGTGAAGTTTAAAATTTAAATCGATTTAATGAAAATAATCTTAAGGGTATGTAAATGTCGATATTTTGACATTGAAATTCAAAATATAAAAATTACAATTTTAACACTCAAGGTCAAAAAAATTTAAAAATTCAAAATTTCCGAACAAAATATTTCGGACTTTGGAGTTTTTGGAGTAGGGGGTCACTAATTAAGGCAGGTTTACAAATTTTGAAATGGGGACTTTTATAATAAATAATATGACTTTTTTGTAAAGTAATTAATTAAAAAATTAAAAATTGATAAAAAATACAATAAAAAAGTGATAAGTGAAAGAAAAAAGTAAAATAAAAAATAAAAAAAAAAAGATAAAAATTGTTCATGAATTATCGTTAGTGGTATTATCACTCTCTTCTTTACCGACAATTACCACTTAAACCAATTATTATTAATTAAGACAGAAGTGTAAAATACTGTTTTGTGTGAAAATTATAATACAAATAATGATAAAAAAACTGATGTTGACTAATATTTGCTTCTGTCGAATAAAAAATTGCAAAATTGAAATATTAAGGCAATATTGAAATATTAAGGCAACATTGAAATATTAAGGCAATATTGAAATGTTAAAAATTGGAGTATTAAGGCATTATTACAGTATTAAGCCAATGTTAACAACACACGTAAAAAATTTTTTATTTGGAACAGCGATAAGTTTCTCTAGATTAGCGAAAATCTTAACTGAATCAACTTAAAATTTGGCGAATCTAGTGAAATTTGTATAGCTAATACCCAGGTGAACATTTTTTTTTCCTGTATTACCCCAAGTTTATTAAACACGACATAATATTAAATAAAATAAAATATTAATAAAATGCAATATTATTAATTACATTATAAATAAAATATTTCTTTAAATAATTAAAAATTTTATTTTATAAATATTTAATGTTTAAACTTAATCCAATAGTTTCAGAAGAACAAAAAGATGAAATATAAAAATTTACACATGCGTTTAGACCACATTCAAAGAGATAGCGTTAGTTAAAAAAAAAAATTTTTTTTTAAACAAAAATTTTTTAAAAAATTTTAAATGAAAAAAAATTTTTTTTTTTTACAAGAGACTTACAGCGCCATTCCTCGTGAAGTCGTTGTAGCTCGTTCACATTTACTATGGCACTGTACTTCCCGACAAAAGATTCTTGGACAACAGAGAGTGGTTACACGTATATATCTTTATGTATGTATAGGTTAAACACAATCTCGTGGCTTTAGTCGCATCGTCTCGGCGTCGTGTCCACGGATAGCCGCCGTGTGACTATATACTAGAGGCAACGCATAATCATTGATACAATAACGGTAAATAAAATTGAGTTTAAAAAAAAAGTTCATTGAGTGATTTAAAAAAAATAAGAAATCCTTGTGATTTACCACTTTACCCCATATGTGTGTGTATGTGTAATTCTTTTTTTTTGAAACGGATAAATGGCAATAATTAAAAAATCATCAAAAAGGTAGTACATTGACTATATTATAAGATTTGACAGATTTAGAAATGATGAAGAATTTTTCATTTTCCAGAAAAATTTTTTTTTTTCTAAACACATGGCCTTAAGGTGATAAACTGTAAAATTACACTATTTTTTTTTATTCGAATAAAAAAAAAAAGTCGTGTTTCTTTTTTAAATGAACAATTAAGCTGTCTAAGGCGATAAGATATTTACAAAAATAAAAAAAATATAATGGAATTACACACAATGTGATAAATATTGCACTGTAATTAAGATACGCGGGAAAGTGAGGTCATATTTGAAATTAATTATTTAAAAATTTTATTTCTTTTTAAATTTTTTGTTTTTAAATGTTTTGGGAATTTTATTCTTTATTTGAAAGTAAAAGAAACATATTGGAAATTTTGATATTTCATTATTATCTTTGTATTATTGCGAATAAAATTTAATAACATGTATAATAAATTGAGGGGAAGCATGCAATAAATATGAAGGACGCTCAAACTGGACCCCCCCACTTTGCAAATGAGATGACGTAAAAAATTTATCTTGCGAATTAAAAAAAAAAAAAATATAATCGAAAAATAGAAGAAAAATATTTTTTTTAAACATTTTTTCTTTAAAATGTTTAAAGACGAAAAATAGCGGTAATTTTTTTTTTCTTAAAGACAGACGTTGACACGTGTATTTATATATATTGCGATAAATATTCAGTATCGTGTGAGCGAATTTCTTTCTGGTACTTTGCACCTGAGTAAATATTGAATCGACGAATGCCGTTAAACTCAAAAATATCACGTAAATTTTATATCTATTGATATTAAAAGAATTGTTATTCATTAATACAACTGACACATTTTTCTCGAATCAACAATAAAGTTTTGATAAGGTAAAAATTTAATTAAAAGTAATTTTTTATTTTTTGTATTTTAATTTTGTCAAAAATAAATTTTTTGTGACTTTTTTTTTATTCTGATAAATTTTATGTATATTTATAATTATATTTAGAAAAATTAAAAAAATTTCTCACTTATTTTGTGTTTTAAGTTTTAAAATTCTATTCTAAATATTTAAAAAAATTTTTAAATTTCTATTTTTTTAAATTTAAAAATTTTAAATTTTCTAAATATTTTGCACTTATTAAATGTAGGAATAAAAGAACTTTTTTTGGAAATTTCAGAAAAATTTAACGAAAATTATTATGTTTAAGGCCTTAAGCATTAAGTTTTAAAATTCTATTCTAGATATTTTTTTTAATATTCCAAATTTTTGGACTCATTTGTAGTTGGAATAAAAGAACTTTTTTTGAAAATTTTAGAAAAATTGAATGATAACTACGTACATATGTTTTAAAGCCAAACCTTCAGTTTTTAAATTCCATTCTAAAAATTTTGTTAAACATTCTAAATTTTTTGCCCCCATTTATAATTGGAATAAAATAACTTTTTTAGAAAATTTCAGAAAAATTTAACGAAAATTACTTAAGTTCTAAAGCCTTAAACCTTGGGTTTTTAAATAACATTTCAAAAATTTTGTTTCACATTCTAAATTTTTGGAATTTTTTTATGGTAGGAATAAAAGAACATTTTTCTGAAAATTTTAGAAAAATTTAACGAAAATTACTTAAGTTTTAAAGCCTTAAGCTTTAAGTTTTAAAATTCTATTCTAAAATTTTTTTTTTAAATTCTAAATTTTTGCACTCATTTGTAGTTCGAATAAAAGAACAGTTTCTGAAAATTTTAGAAAAATTTAGCAAAAATCACTTAAGATTCAAAGCCTTTAATCTTAATTTTTAAATTCCATTCCAAAAATTTGTTTAAACTTTTTACATTTTTTGCTCTCATTTATAGTTGAAATATAAGAACATTTCCTGAAAATTTTAGAAAAACAAAAAATAACTCAAGCTTTAAAGCTCAAGTTTTAAATTTTTTATTTTACTCAAAGTTTTAAAGTTTTAAAATTCTATTCTAGATAATGTTTTAAAAATTCTAAATTTTTGCACTCATTTGTAGTTGGAATAAAAGAAATTTTTTTGAAAATTTCAGAAAAATTTAACGAAAATTACTTAAGTTCTAAAGCCTTAAGTCTAAAGTTTTTAAACTCCAATCTAAAAATTTGTTTAAACATTCTAAATATTTTGCACTTATTTAAAGTTAGAATAAAAGAACATTTTTTGAAAATTTTAGAAAAATTTAACGAAAATTATTAAGTTTAAAGCCTTAAGTCTTAAGTTTTAAAATTCATTCCAAAAAATTTTTCTAAACATTCTAAATTTTTTGCACTCATTTATAGTTTGAATAAAAGAACATTTTCTGAAAATTTCAGTAAAATTTAACGAGAATTGTTTATGTAAAACGTTTCTAAATGTTCGATAGGTCTTATCAGGAAAAATATAAGAAAATAATTTATTTTAGAAAATATTCAGGAAAAATATAAAAAAATATTTTTCCTTTTAGATGTTTCGAGTAAAATTCTATTTTTTCCGTAAACTTTTTTGTACAAAGAGAAACGTTTTATTTTATAATAACAATGGAACAAAGATGTTTTGAGTTTTATAGAATATTTTTCCTTTGCTGTGTGGCGAAAGAAAGGAAGATATAGGCAATTGATTAAAGAGGGTTTTTTTTGGAGGGGGGTTGCAAACTTGGGCGTTGCCCTAGGGTGCGAAGAAAATAGGGGTGCCTTAATGATTCCGCATACCTTCATTTAATATACGTCATCTTTTAAGATTGATATTTTTTTTCCTCGCAATGTTTTTTTTCTTTGTCTTTTCCAACCAATTTTCAAACCAACAGATGAAATTGATCGGTACTATCGTTCTATTATACTTGACACGTGAATTCATAAATAATTTATATGAGAAATTGTTAGCAATTTTCCTCTTCTTCTGTTGGTCCATGACAAGTGGCGCCACGTTTATTATCAGTACTAAAAGTTCCCTCAAACAATTCTCGAAACTATAAAAATTTCTAGACGTAGAAGAAAGGTATTAAAATTAAAAAATTCTATATACAATTTAAAATGTTTTTTAAATGTTTCTAAATTTATTTATTTTCTCCTTTTAGTTTTGATAAAAAAAAATAGTTTTAAAAAATTATTCTTGACCCTGAAGATGTCACTACTTTTCCCAAAACTAAAGTCTCGAAAATACCTTAATTAAAAACTCTTTCTTCAATAATTTTTCCTAACAAAATCTATTTGAATAATTCAATGCAACTTTCAATTTGATTTTTTATTTCCATTTCAGAAAATAGAAACTTTTTTATTTTACTACCTTTTTTCTTTTAACAGAAAATGCCGCTTTCGACAAAATTTAAACTAAAGATTCTTTTTACAGATTTTCTCTTCATTCTCAGGAACTAAAGTAATCAACATTTTTCCAATGATCGAGGAATAATTTTGGTCAAAAAATTTCTTTTGCTCGTCACACAAATAGGTAACTAAATAATTTTAATTTTATTTTTATTTTTCTAATATTACCAATTGGAGAATTGTTATTGCCACCTATTTTTGTAAACTTTTCACAAAATTTTCTATACCTGCAAATTTTTGCACTATTTTTTAAAAATTCTAAATGTTTAGAAATTATTAAATTTCAGAAGTTGAAATTTTAAAAATTTTATTTTTTGTGAAAATAAAAAAAATTTAGTTTATTAGCAATTATTTTCATTACAAAAGTTTTTTACTGCATTTGAGGAATTGTCTAAAAATTCTAAATAAATTATTATCAACGGAATGTAAATTTTAATTCGAAACAAAAAAATTGAAGAAATATTAATCAAACATTAAATCATTTTTCAATTTTTTTGTCTCAAATATTCAGAAAGTTTGAAAAATTTAACGAAATGTTTTTAGATCTTTTGAATTAAAACAGATGTGCTTTTTGGTGAAATAGATAAAAATATTTCTCAGCGTCATTGGTAATATTAGAATGTAAATTAATTCAAATTTCCAAGTAAATATTACAAAAATAATAATATATTAAAATTATTAGCGCAGCAACTATGGGAGAATCAAAAAATTTTCAATGGAACATTGCTCAACAACGATAGACGACAAACTTTCAAGATGACTAATCAGGAAAATTTGGTTAAATTCAATGAAAAATTCAGTACAAATACAAATAATTGCAGTGATAATAAGAATAGAGGAAAATAAGTAAAAAAAAAGAAAGGAGCTCGAGAGTGAGAAACAAGAATAATGATATTGTGATCAATAAAAAGTATTTTTCGATAATGTAAATTGATAAGATTGTAAAGCCTTGAGCAGCGAATAATAATCTTTGTTAGAGTTTGTATGAATCAATGAATTTAAAGAAATAGTACTTCCCCATTTTTTTTTGTTTTATAAAAAAATATTTTAATTAATTTTTTCGAATTGTAAATTTATTTTGTTGACTTTGCAAAAACGTTTCCTTCTTTTTTTTTTCTGTATCAAGAATTTTTCCTATGTATGAGTTTTGTTCTACGTACTCATTACGTAATTGAAATATACAGGAAAGTAGTGATTCCCCTTCTATTTTAATTCTTTCATCACCCAGTTGAATTACACAGCTGAAGAGTGAACATTAAATACTCGAAATATGTATAAAGTAGATCAAGTATGTTTGTAAGTAAAAGAGCATATCATTAGGTTTTTGAATTAAAAAGAAATTAAAAGGAATATCTTTTGATAATCGCACAATATTTTGTAAATAACATTTTATTTTCTGTACGTGACAGTGATGCCTCATTTATTAATAACGAGGCTGTGAGAAATGATGATGTGCAAAGTAATTATTGTTCTTTTTTTAATTGGTGATATTTTCGTCGCGGCGTATACAAATCAATGGGCTGTGCATATTGACGGTGGACCAATAGTCGCTAGGCAAATTGCTGATGAACATGGATTTCGTTATTTGGGAAAAATATTTGACGATTGCTATCATTTTGATCATGGTTCGGTGATGAAGAGATCTGTTGAACCACATTTGGAGATTCATGGGAGATTAGTGGAGGATGAGAGAGTGAAGAGGGCTGAACAGCAGAGGATAAAGACGAGGGCGAAGAGGGATTTCATTCAGCAGAAGACGATTTTAAATGATGATAGATGGTCCTTGATGTGGTATTTGAATCGAGGGAATGGTTTGGACATGAATGTGCAAGATGCGTGGGCAGAGGGAATATCGGGACGTGGAATAGTGGTGACGATTCTTGATGATGGTTTGGAGAAAGATCATCCTGATTTAAAGGATAATTATGATCCTCAAGCAAGTTATGATGTTAATAATCATGATGAGGATCCAATGCCGAGGTATGATTATACGGATAGTAATCGACATGGTACGAGATGTGCGGGTGAAGTTGCAGCAACGGCGAATAATTCCATTTGTGCGGTGGGAATAGCTTTTCATGCACAGATTGGTGGTGTTCGGATGCTCGATGGAGATGTGACGGATGCGGTCGAAGCACGCTCCTTGAGTTTAAATCCACAGCATATCGATATTTATAGTGCGTCTTGGGGTCCGGATGATGATGGTAAAACAGTTGATGGACCGGGTGAATTGGCGACAAGAGCTTTTGTGGAGGGAATAACGAAGGGACGTGATGGTAAGGGTTCGATTTTTATCTGGGCATCAGGCAATGGCGGTAAGGATGGTGACAATTGTAATTGTGATGGTTACACGAACAGTATTTGGACCCTGTCGATTAGTAGTGCAACGGAAAATGGTTACGTTCCATGGTACAGCGAGAAATGTTCATCGACATTAGCGACAACTTACAGTTCGGGATCAACAAGCGAGAGGCAGATCATAACAACGGATTTGCATCATCATTGTACAAACAGTCATACTGGAACATCAGCGTCAGCTCCACTAGCAGCCGGTATTTGTGCCCTCGTTCTTGAGGCGAATAGAAATCTAACTTGGAGAGACATGCAGCATATTGTTGTCCAAACGGCTAAACCGGCGAATTTAAATGCTTCAGATTGGGTGACGAATGGCATTGGTCGTAACGTGAGTCACAGTTTTGGTTATGGGTTAATGGACGCCTCGGCTATGGTTCGTCTGGCCAGGAAGTGGAAAACGGTTCCTGAACAACACACCTGCGAGGTAATGTCTCCCCAAATGGGAGAACCAATACCAGCGAAGAGAACCCTAAGTTTTGATTTGAATGTCGAGGAATGTATGGGTGTGAACTTTTTGGAGCATGTACAGGCAAAGGTGACCCTATCAGCATCAAGGAGAGGGAATCTGGAGATATTCCTCACATCACCACAAGGCACCAGGAGTACTCTTCTTGCCAAACGTCCACGCGATCTTTCCAAAGCTGGTTTCAATCAATGGCCATTTATGTCCGTTCACACTTGGGGTGAAAATCCACTAGGTATATGGACATTGGAAATACACAACGATGGGAGATATGAAGATGTTCTAGAGGAATGGAAACTGATATTCTACGGTACCGAAACTCCAGTAGTGGCTGAGGATAAAATTATCATCTCCGAATATGAAGTACCAAGTGAAACATCAACAGACGTTAAGCACAACATCATTGGAACGGTAGACAATTCATGGATTGGTAGCCAAAAAATCGACAGTGTTTTACAAACAGAACATTCAAGACCAACGAGCGAAAAGCAAACGAGCGATAACTGTAAAATTATGGACGGAGAAAATGATTGTCTCGTCTGCAAGGAAAATTGGTTCCTAACAAAAGGACGTTGCGTTCTTTATTGTCCAGCCGGTACCTATGGTGCTTCCGACGAAAGATATTCGGTTTGTGCCGCTTGTCATTATTCTTGTGCAAGATGTTCAGGGCCATCTGGTAATCAATGTACTTCATGTCGTGCCGACGCTATTTTAATTGAATTCCACTGTGTCCTTAGTTCAATTTCGTGGAAAATGCAAGCGACAAGATGGTTTTATTGGATGACAATATTTTTTGTCATTAATTTATCAACAATAACTGCCGCCGGAATTTATTTGTGTGTCTTTTGGTTTCGCAGAAAACACAATCCACATACATACGACTATAGTAAAGTGTCATATTCACAGAATGCAAAAGCTGAATGTGGTGCTAATGATTCCGCGTCCGATAGTGAATAATTAGAAAAACATGGCCTATTTAAAATTATAATATTAAAAAAAAGTAATTGACGAGAAAAATAACGAAATTGTTTTCGACTATATATTTATACATATCTCTTTGATATCATCGAAAATCAAATTCCGTCAATATTATTTAGATGTAGATTTTTTATTACAAAGTTATACAGCACTTGTTATAATAAACTACAAATCAACATCAAAATATTTATATAATTAGGTTATTTATTTATTCTTACATTTCGTTGCTATATTTTTCCATTCATAATTTACAGTATAAGTTAGAAAAACAAATCTTTTAAATTTATTGACAAACAAAAAACGATCCGCAAAAAAGACCACCTGCAATACATGCAAACTGCTTTTTCGAATTTTGTAAATATTATTTAAGAATCTTATTTATTACTTCATGTAACATAAAAAAGTGGGTTCCTCATTATATAGTTATTTAATTGTAATCAGAATTATATATATACACACAATTATATGTACAACATTACACACAATTATATAGAAATAATAAGTCTGAATTTAGTTTAATAATTGTTGCATTATTAATTCATGTCTTAAAACAAATAATAAAAAACATCCTCTCCTAATTTGAAGAAATATTTCATAAAACTAGTATTACTACTTTTTAAAAAAATATATTTAACAGACTGCTATAAAAAATTTTGTTTCAAAATTAGAAGAACTGTGGTTTATGAAAAAAAAAACTAACAAAAAATTCACCTCTATTGAATACACAAATCCGAATCGTAAATTTCAACAAAAGGATAGGAACCGACAACAAGGACTACTGCTGATAGGTAAAAAATTTGTGAAAAACAAATACGAATAACTTTTTTCAATATTTTTACTGCTTTAAAACTCGTGGTCTATAAACTTTTGTTTTGATATCGTCTGTTTAGATGATAAAAAAAGTGAATAGAAAATAAAAAATAATTTGAAAAAAATTGTAACTAAGAGCTAGATACTAATTTGCAGTACAAGTTAAGAATTTATAAATGTGAATCGATGAAGATGGGATGAATGACCGATCAGTAAGCAGAAGGATAAAACTGTCGAGGTAAATTCAGAAGAGATGAAGAATAATAATTATTTCTTTTCCTTCAGAAATTGAATATAATAGTTATTGAGATTTCTGTGTCATCTTTTTTATTAACTAGATTATTTTGTAAATTAATGTGAATCATTTCTGATATTTTTTTATACAAGTGATTATGGCATCAACGTTTCTATATTAAAAAATTATACGTTGATGACATAATCACTTGCATAACAAAATATCAGAAATAGTTTATTAGTTTGAAAGAAAGTTTTGCATTACAAGAAGTTTCTATGTCATCCATGACTACGTCCGCTAACAATCTAGAGAGGTGAATCCATACAAATACCGTATATTTATTTATTACTGAATTAAAAAAATTTAAAAAAAGAATTAGCAAGATTTAAGTAAATATTCTCCATGTCAACAATTCACAAAAAAAAGTAAAATTATAATCAGGTCACTAAGTTAAAATTGCGGTTTATCTTTACTTGATCTTTAAAAGCCGGTATCTGTAAAATGCAATAACTTTATCGGAGGAATGAAACTTTCGAGTCGTCTCAGCTGGAATCTAATAGATTGGAAATTCCCGACTCATTAGGTATAATTTAAAGGATGACATTAAGTAATTGAGTGGTATCTTTTGAAACTCCTTGTAACACATAGTGTAAGGGGGGTAATAAGCCTCGAGTGTCCTGTAGGAACAGGCAACCTCAAGCCCTATGGCTTAAAGTTCCATCAAAGTTGCAGTTTATTGCAACTACTCGTCCTCTTGCTATAGATTTTCGGCTTTACCTGGACCCAGGTGTCCAACTTTAGTAATATAACCATGAGACGATGAAACATAGTATTTTTCATTGATTTTCTTCTTTTTCTTAGTCACCACGTTTCTGGAACACTTTTGCCAGAAAATATCACTTCTTTCTAAGTTTCTCGAGAGGTTTCTTTTTTTAAGTAATTAACTTTTTTTTAATGTTCGTTGAAAACCAGATAGTTAGGGGTTTGTTATTTTTTCGCTACATATTAGGTACTTTAAAAACAGTAAAATCTAAAACTGCGGCTTTGGATTAAAATTATTTTATTAGAATGCCCTTCAAGCATTTATGGAATGGATTTTTTACTCAGGATAACAGGATTCTAATACTTTTGATCAATTTAATGTTTGTCTATCTATTCCAGATTCCTCTGAATAGTTACGTTTTTGTCAATCTTCTAATGGAAATTATTAAGGATCGTCTAACTTATGAAAATACATTATATCAACTAATTTATCTGATGCGAACGTCTTTATTAAAACATTCGACTTATTATAAACATCAGTTAGCAGAATCATTTTCTAAATTTGTAAATTAGTAATTGTTTATAAAAAAAAAGTTTTATTTAATAAAGTGGCCTAATTGTGTCAAAACAAGAACACCAAAACGTTGCACAGCTAATGGAATATTGTTTCATCTATTACCCCTCCGATAATCGATTAAAAAATTATTAACAAACTATAATTTCTAAACTATAACTATAATAAAATAATATAAAAAAAGTCATTCACTTCTCTTAGTGTTGTAAAGTGTAATAAATACAAAAGCTGTCAAATTGATTTAGAGGGAACAAATTTTCGCGTCAATAATATATTAGAGGGTTTCTACTAAACTTGAGAAGTGCGGCCATTAGGTAGAATTCTCTGGTATTTGGAGTTTCATCTCGTCCATCCCTTTCGTCTCTAAGTGGATTCACGTCGGTGCAAGTGACGATGAACAGCAGGCTCCAGGGGATTCTAGTTACCTTGTGACAGAACCAGGAAACGAGCCTTGGAAACGACATCAGAGTCTTATTGACAACCTGCCTTGCTTGTTAACTTATTCTCAAATTCTTGTAAAAAGATAGAAATTCTTTCGTGAAAATATTTAAAATATTCTCTCCATATCTTTTTTAAGACTTTAATGATACGTTACTAAAATGTCTTCTTTTTTTAGATAATTTATTTTCTATTTATTCCTAATGTACTTAATGTAATTATTATATGTTTATGGAAAAAGACAAATATATAGAAAAGGTATAAGAGTTTATTATCTGCTGTGTCAGGATCAATGACTTCCTTTCTTGAGTTGAAGGTAAACATTCAATATTTACATTTAAACTTAACGTATTGTCTCAAGAATTACCACAGAACTGATGCGTATAAGAAGTGTTCGAGTCAACTTTAATTTAACACTCTGCAGAACAATATAAATTAATCAGAAAATTTATAAACTAAATGTTTATGTAAATGTACTTTATTGAGTTTCTTGCAATGAAATTTGGTTGACAATTGAAATTCGACAGAAAATGTTTCTCTTGGGGGCTAGTAAAAATACTTCCTGGCTTATCTCATGATTCCGAGTACACACCAGGAAGGGAGTTCTTTTCTTCCGTCGAAAATCAACTACCCCATCAGCTCTCGAAAAACTTTGTGGTCGCTTTCCGACGTTTCCCGTTTCAGGATTTCCTGTGATACTCACCACACCACTGCAGGAAAAGAAATACAAGATTCACCTACGAGAGAAAGAGAGTTCATTTGATAACATTACAAAATCCCATTTATGAAACAAATCCCTTCGTCTGGATTTTCTTGTAAAAGACCAGAGATAATTTTTAAATTTATAAAAGCTCTCTCAGATTTAATTTTTTTGTGAATTATACTAAGGGAAATTAGGAGTGTGCTTATCTGATGTTAAACTTAGACTGCTTGCTTAGATACTGAACTTGTGTCATCTCATTAGACTAAGAAATATCCAAAAGTAAAGAAAGCTGATCAGCAGATCATTAAATCAGTAATTTTAATGTTCAATTTTGTAATGAAGTAGCAATTATATTTGTGAGTGATAATAGTGAACCTCCAATGGAACGTGATATATGTATACATTCGAAAGTCTCCAGAAACATTTTAATTAACTGTCTTTGCGTAAATGCTGATCCCATGATATATCCTTTAATGTTCCCTTTAGCTGATTTGGGATGGATTACTTAACTTCAAAATTTCAAATAATTTTCGAGTTGTAATCTATAGTGGATTAATGGATTTTGCTATTATGCGATTAGTTCAAGAATTTGGTAAACCAAATTTATTTATTACAATGCCATGTAATTCAAAGTGACCTAAGATTACAGAATTTTTAAAATGTGAAAGTGAATATTGTGATATAGTGCGAGTTTGTAATAATAATTTAAATTAAAATCTTCCAGATGTCGTGCAACTAATTAAGAAATAAGCTTACAAGACAATTAGACCGCCGCGTTAGACAGCTTGTACAATTATTTGCTTAGGTATTTTGGTATTTAAATTCGTCCTCATATCTGAACTCCGGTTGCACTCACTATGGTAATACATAACCTATCTGCATGATGCGCTATTTGTCGCAATATCGAAAGTATTTATACAGACATATTTTACATAACGGATCGATCCCTTAAATCCCTTTTCCTAATATGAGATTACGGCGTACTTTATATCAATAAATAAAAAAAAAATTTTAATTTCATAATTTATTTTCGATCTGAAACCTCTTTAAATCTATCAATCCTCATAAATTTCAATTTTGTTTAAAACATAGATCTGCTTCATAAAAATATATTCACTCCTTTAACGAAGAAATATAACCAGAGGAATCGTGAGTCGTTCACCTTTTAATGAAATATTTAAAATTCTATTTCTATGAATAACTCTGAGTTTACAGGGACAAGATAAAGTTCGCTTTTCAATGATTATATTAAAATATAAATATATTATACTTTTCTTTTTATATTATGAAATATAAAAATTTTGACTAAAAAATTAGTTCAAAATATTTTTAAACAAATTGCTATGAAATCTAAACTTTTTATGCTTTGTGAGGTTTCAATGTTTCTACTTTATGGCTATTACGAAATATCAAATGAAATATGGAATGTAATTTGAAATTTAATCAAAGTTTTACAATAGTTGTGGTAATTGGAGAAGCCCTTAATGGAAGTTAATTCTCTTGATGTTTTTTTGAGCACACCTGAGCAATTATAATTCTCTATTAATTAATAATAAATAAGTGATGAATTCTGCAATATCTGTAATTATTTACTATATTTTTATGTCTAAAAAGTACCACACTTTATTATCCCTATGTTCTTTGATTAAACTAATCTTGGTACGGGATTGGTGAATAAGGAATTACCTTAGTTTGATTTATAAATGGATCTCTAGACTTTCTAATATTTAAGAGATGATGACTCTAGGGGTTAGTTTGTTTTTCTTATTACCTCTGGACTTTAACAAGTGCTATTCTCTTATAGTTGTGGAAGGTTGCTCGATGTCCTCGAACTGAAGACAATGCCTTAATATTAAACTTTTTATTTGAATCCTTTACAATTAGAATCAGAGAGAAAGAGTAGATCCAGATGTCTTCAGGCATACTGAAAAAAAATTAGAACCTCGTGGAATCTATCAAGAATTTAAATGGGGACAGAATTTAAAAGTATTAGTTACTTA